ACACCCTTTTGTTATTGAGATTGTTTCTTAAATTTTCACCTTAAAATTTTTAGTTTCACACGATAAATGTAGGGTTGGTGAAACTTAAAATTCTACAATGATTTATTATGGTAAAATAAAGTTTACTTCAAATTCAGCTACTAAAATAGAAAAGATGTGGCAAAATATTCTCATAATATCAAGATAGGACAAATGCTATTATGTTTTTTTTTCAATTGGTGATACATTTGAAATGCCATTTCTATATGATTTTGCTCATCATCGTGTATGTTTATTTTACTCGTTAAGTAATAAAGTAAATGGTGTTTCAACTTTTAAAGTTTTATGTAGTCCAACAATCATATAAAACCAGGTATTTTTCTACTATAGTTTTAAAATTATTATCACTGAGTTCAATGATAAATTTATAATTAAAATAGGATAAATTACACTAATAGTCATTAAATGTTAGGAACATTTGCATTTTAGTCATCAACATTGAAAAGTTTTCATTAAAGTCATTGATGTCAAGAAAAAATTTTGTTTGGTCATTGGACCATTAAATAATTAATGATAGTTAAGTTGTCATGCTAGTGTGCTATTTTTTCGTTAAATAAAACTTTCAGGATTAGTGTAAAGATAGAAATTATTAGAGATTGACCCGAATTTGATATGATTCAAATTAATGAAGATGTAAAATCAAGAGAAAAAAGAATTTAGTTTGACTGAAAGTAGAAAGTCTATTCTATTTTATATTGATTAAAGATAAAAAAAACATAATTGGAATAGATTTAGGCATGAAACGAACCAACTTGTTTTGTTCGTTTAAATGATAAACGAACACAAATGAACAAACGTAAACAAACACACGGTTTATATTTGAGAATAATTTTTTTCTTTTCAAATAATTTTAGGATTTATATTTTCTTTAATTGATTTGAGTATTTTTATTTGCGTTTAAAATTAAATGAGTTTAAAAATGATAATGGGTTTAAGATTAAAACTTATTAAGCCTTAATATTTCAAACGAGTCTAGAAAACATAAATGAACATAAACGAACCAACATAAACAAACGAATATAAATGAATGGACATAAATTAATATAAATGAACGAACATAAACGAACAGATTATCGAACGTTCACGAATGTAAATGAACAAAAATGACCATTTTGTTCGTGTTCGCTCATTTAATTAAACGAACATAAAATCTTATTTATGTTCTTTCGTTTAATAAATAAACGAATATAAACGAACTTCCTGCCGATCAATTCACGAGCAGTTCACTGAATATTTGGTTCGTTTACATGCCTAAATAGATTTATACTAAATAAATTTCTATTGTAATCAAATAATTATCCTTAATAATAGATATTAGGGTTAAAAGAAAAAGTGTTTTTGAAAATTCTATTGTATTATTCTTTTTTCACATTAGTGATTTTTTTCTTTTTTTCTCGTATTTTTTCTTAAAGGATTTCCACGTAAAATCTTGGTATCGATTTTATTGTGTGATCACTATACTTATCATTATCTTCAAATAAATTGTTATTAGAATATATTCATGTTTGATTCAATCACGAATTCATGATAATGGTGGCCCTGAAGTATGAGATTTCATTGTTGGATCACAACACTCGATTTAAGTTGGGACAGATTTAAAAAATAATTAATATAATTTCGCTAGGTACTTTGGATTCAAAAGGGTACATATACCCCAACAAAGGTTGATCTATGAAAATTTATAAAGACCCTCAGATTGTGATAAAAGAAAAGAAAAATATTGTCAAATTTTACGTTCTAAAGAGTTCAACAGTTTGAGTATAACAATTCTAGAAAACATAAAAAAATCAATTTTGTATGTATAATGAATTTGAGAAGAAGAATATAGTCTAGTTTCATCACATGAATTAATAACGAAAAAGATAGAATTTGATATCGTATTATACAAGATATAATTGTTACTTATGGTGATATAATTGTTAGATTAATCAATCATTCTAAAGCACAAATTAATAGATTAATAATTAGATTATATCCAAAACATAGTATATATATAATATTCCTTAAATTTAAATAATATTCAACCCGAAAATCCACTAACCATTGCAACAAAATCAACGCTTCTTGGACATAATTAAACCTTTTAAAATGCTATATAAAAATCTAAATACGGATAAATAAACTCAAATTAAGAACAAATTTATTTTTTATATAATTGTATTTACAAGGTTAAGTATATATATTTTTGAAATTTACAGATTTTGATACAAAGATATCCTGTTCTAGATTTCTAGTCATTGTGGTTGTGAAGAGAGGAAAAAAATAAATAAAGTGATTTTAGACGCAAAATCAATTGTTGGGAAAAAAATTCGCGAGATAATGCGTTCCAACAATTAATTGCTGAGATAAGGTGAAATCTACAATTCGAACATATGTCGCCAGGTGCTCCTGGCAACCAAGGAGGTCGCCATGCCGTCCCTGCGAGCTGTGGTGAGCTGCTGCACTTTGCATGCTTGAAGATCGTCAAGCACGCCCTGCTGAAATGGAGGTCGTCATATTTCAGATAAAAGCCTAATTACCGAAATAAGAAATCATTGTTACTTAGGGAAATTTAGGTAATTGCTATGCGTGAAGGTCGCCATGCACGTTGAAATGGAGGTCGCCATGAATGTCGGGCGACCTTATAGGTCGTCATGTGATCCCGGCGACCAAACTGGCGAGATTGTTAGTTAGTTTAGGGTTTCGGGTAAAAGCCTAATTACCGATATAGATAATGCAGCAGCTAACCACAGCTCGCAGGGACTGTATGGCGTCCTCCTTGGTCGCCCGGAGCGCCTGGCGACATATGTTCGAACTGTAGATTTCACCCTATCTCAGCAATTAATTGTTGGAACGCATTATCTCGTGAATTTATTTTCCAACAACATTATCTCGTTGATTTTGCCGATTTTAGATGAGGGTGAAATTTCTTTATAATAATCTAAACGATATAAACAAATGAAATTTGGAGTTGCAACTCATAGAAACTATGTCGTTTAGGTATAGAATCTTCGTACGGCGATATATTTACCGCACATGAATAACCTTTTCTGAATCTGTTACCGGATTTTCTCGTTACTTCGACCTTCACTGTAAACAGCGACGAAACAGGTTGGTGATCAGAGAATCTCGTCTCGCCGCGAACGTACGATAATTGCTCAATGCCGTAACCGTGCCATAATATCCTATCGCACCTGAAATGTTCCCAGTACAAGAATCGATTAATTATGTGATTTCACGGCTTACACGAAAACTGATTTGGCTAGAGTGAATGAGTACCATGCAGGGGTTCGTCGTTTTTTCTTTGATTTAACAGTTTCGCCGGCGTATAAATCCGAATTCTGCGAATACTTGTACAGTACCGTGCCACATCTAACGTGGTATTGTAGCTCGCGCTAGATTTTGTTTTTTTAGTTAAAATATATTAAATTATAAGATAGATAAAAATATATTTAAATTAGATAAATAATCATATTATTTTTTTTGTATTTTTTTGGATTTTTTGAATTTTTTCTGATTTTTTATATTTATAAAATTAATATTATAATAGTTAAATATTGTAAATAAAGTAGAATTAGTGGTAATGTAGAGATAGCGCTGGAGATGAATTATTGTTTCATGTCTAGAGTAGAGATAGAGATACGCTAGAGTATGGATTAAGACTGGAGATGGCCTAAACATACCAAGTGTGGGGAATTGATTGGGAAGGGAATCAAGCCTTACTTATCTTCTTGTCATCTTCTTCAACACTACCCCAACACTAATTCCCTTTTATTTACCTAATTTATTCAAAAACATTAATTATCTAAATAACTTTCATTCTAATTTATTTATTAAAAAGTAAAATTTATCGGATATATTTTTTTATCAGATATATTTTTGTTTATGTCACATGTTTCATTTATCGGATAAAAACTGTTTGTCTTTTTCGTCTTTGTCATATCCTTATTAACACAAGAATGTTTGTTTATGTCACATGTTTCATTTATCGGACAAAAATTGGTTGCCTTTTTCTTCTTTGTCTTATCTTGTTAACACAAGAATGTGCAAAGAGGGCAATTGTAGACACTCGTTTTTGTCCGGGTCGAAAAAAATATTTTAAATATTATTATTAGTATTTTTATTATTAATATTAATATTTTTTTATTAATTATTACCTAACCTAAAAACTCATTACCTATTAAATAATCATCCACTAAAAATTCGCTACCCATTAAATAAAAACCCACTAACTATTAAAGAAAGAAAACTTTATTAAAAAAATTAAAAAATGGTATGTTTAATAGATTTATTGGTATATTTAGACACACATTTTTTTATAATATGCATGCATATTACTAAACCCACAAAATACATAAACCAACGGTATTATATTATAAAGACAAGTGGGGGCAAGTATTTATAATATGCATGACTTTAGGAATAAAAACGGTATTATATTATAAAAAGGGTATTTTTTTAAGGGCCCAAGTATTTATAATATAATATGCATACATATTACTAAACCCACATTACATAAACCAACGGTATTATATTATAAAGATAAGTGAGGTCACATCTGATAGATTTAGTAATATCAGGTAGTTTTAATAGTGCTCAATAAAAAAATGTTGTTATATTAAACTTAGGCTCCTCAAAAAATTTAGGATTTACGATTTAGTCTAAAAAATTGATTTTTTTAATTATTAAACTTAAAAATATTTTTAAGAATGACCCCCTCTAAACGTCTAGGTGGTCGCCCCTCTCGCCTACCCTCAGGGCCGGGCTTGCATCTGTCCGGTCAAAAAATTTTGGGGCATGCTAGAAAGATCAACCAAGTCATCATCGGCGGCACCATCGCGACGTGCGGGTAGGGGACGGAGTTCTTGTTTGCTGGGTAAATCCCTAAGCTTTTTTTTTTTGCCTCTCTTCGTCCCATGTGTGTATTCGATCGGACAGTTGCAGATTTTGAGAAGGCTACTTTCCGCTTTGAAATTCTTACCAAGGATTTTGAGTGACGGCTTGTAGAAGAAGTGACTGTTGGGAGATTTTGACTCTTTCGTTAAGGAATGTGAGCATTTCAAACTTTGGTTACAGTCCGAAGATGGCTACGTGAAATCGAATTCGAGCTTGTTAAGTACTTGGTTTGTAAGGACCAACCATTTTGCGGCAGGTTCATTGTCTTCAATCACTAGAACATTCCCAGCATTGAGTGGAACAATTTCCTGAAACCTGGGAAATCGATGTTGTAAGTGAAAACAAGCTCCAAAATCTTGTATTTTGTGGATATCAAAAGAAGCCTGAGACAATCATACCCACAGATATAAATATCTGCAGAATCCTCCGTTAGAAAGAAATCTTCAAGGTTCATGTCAAGATTAGGTGCCTTCCCTCCCACGTTCCAAGTTGCAACGAACACCCTGAATATGGTGATATTTTACTGCTGTAAGATATAAACATAGACCGCGTTAAAGGAAAATTATATATCGATACCAGAATTCACGAGGTTCAGTCATTGGTGAAGCCATGGAACAGCCGAAATCTGAGAGATTCAGCCCTTCGATTAAACCTCCAGTAACTTCCTCTCTTCCTAGGAGCAGATAAGAACATTAGTCTCATTATTGTTTTTCTTCTCTTCTACCAGTTCTAGACTCCCAACACCAATAATTTTGTCGATCACAAAGCCAAAGGGTCAACGTCAGAAATGAAACTCATCCACTTTTCTATTTATATTTTCTTCACCTTCTAACACTTTCTTGTTAGGTTAGCTACCGATGTTTTATATCAGATGAGAAAAAATAATTGTCTGTTAACTGGATACATGGTCTAATACATTCTTCATATTCATTTATATCTGAGTCTATTCCTATTCTACCAAACATGTCACGTAAAAGGTTTAACTATAAACAACATCTAGATAGTGTTTGAGAAGGTGGTACCTGTAGGAGAAACTCCACAATCTGGTAATACAAATTCCTCATCTGATGAGCCACCTCTGTTACGTCTCTTGTAAGAAAAATATCTTTGGGATAAACGAGTTTACCCCACGACGATAATAAAAAATAATAAACGAAAAATCAATAAAAAATATAAACCACAATCAATTGTTTTGAAGTAAATCAAGAAATATATTGTTACTGTACCTTCTTTTTCTTGTCATTATTGACGGAGTTATCGGGAGAAGTGGAAGCGGTGGTTGGGGCGGTGGGGCGGTCGATGCATTGGCCTTGATCGTCCCCGAGTTCGCTTTCGTTCATTAGGTTACTTTATAGATTTATTGCAGGAAAATGAACTGTCCAGTTTTCCAGTAGTCTTGGGTATCAATTAGCGAAATATTCATAACAAAACAATCTGGATAGGAGAAACAAATTCTGGGTCTTTGTGTCTATGATTAATGGTTTTTTTTCTACTAATTTTCTTTTAATCAGTTTATATATTTTTAGGGTAAAAATAATTGAAAAATAATGTTTTATTTGATCTGTTTGATTAGGATGAGATATTGGCGCCAGTTCTTTCGGAGAGTATTGAATCATCGTAAGGAGGTGAGGGAAAGAAGCAGTTCACAAATAAATAACAGAAAATTTTAACAGTACTTTTTCTGTCTGTCTAAGAACTTTACAACACATCATCCATTTATATGTTTATTTGGTTGTTTGGTTTGTTCTTTAAATGTTTGTTTAATATTATTATGAACTTAGAAATTAATTAAGAAGTTTATTAAACAAGGAATTGCAAATTAGAAAGGCACAATTAAATGATTAAAACTCCAAATATTCCAACAGGTGAGAAGGACATAATGTAAAACAGTTCCATTTTCTTTCACGAGCACAAGAAATCGCATTCACCAATCATCAGGAAAATGACGGGTGAATCATGGATCGGTCAAGAGCACCACCATCATCATTATGACATCCTAAAATCAAGAAAAAGGGAAAAAATGGGAAACTCTAAAGCACGAACATCAAATATTAGATAATATTTCATTCATCATCCTGCAGTAAACTGCGGATCAGTTCTGTGCAACCGTCGGCCGCCGTATCCTGGATGAATCCCATTGCATTTGCAAAATGAATGTTGGAAACGGCACCGTTGCTGCGGGTCAAGATAACAGTGACCTTGTTACGCCTGGTGTCGGGAACTGCACAGCTTTTAATGGGGCTGCTAACAAGCGTGGCGTAGCATATTTGGTCTTGGTGGTCATCTTCAACCAAAATGCTATATATTCCGGTTGCGTCCGTCTCCGCCCCAACGCTGAATTTCAGCCTCAAAGTGGTCCTATCATAGCACTTGATTTCGACCCTCGCACCTAAAAACAAAAAGCTTTGATCAAATTCAAGAAAAAAAAAAGACATAATGGTGATAGAACCATACCAGGTATGTTAGAGCATTTAATTGTCTCGAAACCAGCACGGCAGGCGTCACAGTAAACTTTGCCAATGATTTGGAAAGGCTTCCTGTTTGCGTTAACGAGAACCGGGAGAACACAGATGGCAAGCAACAAGAACAACTTGGTAGCCATTGCTTTGATTTGAGAGAGAGCAAAGAGGCTTTACTCGAAGAAGAAGAAGAAAGAGACTTGGAAATGGTGAATCGTGGTGGGGAAGGAGAGTGATATTTTACAGTGATATTGTTCGTGTAGGAAAAATATAATTTACTTGGGGGACTTTCTGCTGGAAGACGGTCACATGGTGAAAAATTATTAGAGGCTTTCGGGTGTTGCGGCATATTGTTTTCGAATTTTGCATTAATGGGGCAGGTTGGGATCAGATTCAAGTTACCAAATCCTTCGTTTGCGCCATATGCATTCTGCAAAACATAATTAATTATATTGCACTACTTTTAACAAGCAATGTGTGAAAAATTGAGATCCTCAATGCATCAACCAGCAACAAGTATGACTGGTCATTTCTCTCGTGTTTTTCTCTAGAGATTTTGGATTCAAATAACTGAGTTAGTAGAATATGTATATATTGTCAATAATTAAAAAAATATTATGAGCATACATTATCTTATAATTATCTTCAGACTATTCAAAAAATATATAATCGCCCTCTAATATATAATAAACATCCGGTGTTGTTTGTCTTCCTTTGACGGTTTATTAGCTATCGAATATAAATTAATTATCATTTACGAGCATACGTTTTCCACATTTGAAGGGTGATAATTATTGTATTAAAATATGAATGAAAAGTATTGAACATCTCACTATTAGATCTTCATGTTTGATAGAAACTCTATTATGCATGTGCAAGTGCGAACTTAATGGAGACGGAAGCATGTAATTTTTTTAATGTAACCAAAATCTAGATAATTATTAACGGTTCAACTTAAATGAATGTTATCGATCCCTGTGACAAAGCCATCTACTATTTTTTTTAAATGGAGTGGCTAAATATTTATGCATGACATATGCGTAAACTTTGGATCGAAAGTCAATGACAGCATGCATCACATGAAGCTGGAAATACAAGCACGTACATATTATATTTTAAATGGAAGTGGTTAACTAATGTTTTAAATTAAGACTAGCCTAATGATTTAAAGGTTCCAAAGAAGAAACTCGGCAGTATACTGTTAATTATTTACATTTCGTTAGAGTTGGATAATATTGAGACTTAATGCGTTGTTCGTTCGCTCATAAGAAGTAGACAATAATCAACTACATTGAACAATAAACCGCAATGTTGCTGTGCACCGGGTGATGGTTCACGGTGGTTATATGAATTGTAACGAAGGAGGTTTGATAACGACTTATGATTTTTCTCTTTTTAGATTGAACGAACGAAGAGCCACCAGCGATTGATTTGCGGAGACAAAAAAGAGAATAACTTCAGTGACCGAAAATGCCTTATAATATACGATTTTAATCAATTTTTTTTTTATTTACAAAAATGACCAATAAATTCGCAACGCGAACTCCAATTTCGCAACACATGTTCCAAAATCGCAACACATAAGTCAAATTCGCAACACGGAATTTCAAATTCGCAACGTGAATTTATTTTTCATAACACAAGTTTCCTTTTCGCAACAAGATTTTCTAAATCGCAACACGAATTTTGATTTCGTAACGGTAATTACCGATATAGGTAAACAGTACCATCGCAATGCGATTTTCAAATTCGCAACGCTAATTACCGATATAAGTAAACGCAACTATTGCAACGCGAATTTCCGAAACTGAGTTGCGAATTTGTGAAATATGCGTTGTGAATTTGGAAACTGTATTTACAAATTCGCGTTGCGATTTACATATTTGCGTTGCGTATTTGGAAACTGTATTGCGAAATTGGAGTTCGCGTTATGAATTTGTTAGTCATTTTCGCAAATCCAAAAAAAATTGATTAAAATCATATATTATAAGACATTTTTTGTCACTGAAATTATTTTCTCGACAAAAAAATGTTCTCTTAATTTCTCAATCACAAAAGAAAGAGAAATGTCAAATATAATAATTAAATAAATCGAAAATTCATTTTAATGTCAAATGGTAATTTTACCCTTGAAATCCATTGTTCCTAAACGTGTCCTATTTCAACTTCTTCATACAAGGGTTAAGATTAAACCATGGAGTTAGTAGTTACCAACTTTGTCCTTATAAGTTTCCAAAATATCATTTTTACCTTTTTTTTATTTCAATAATTAAGGTTTAACATGGAAATCATTTTAAATCTAATGGTTCATAATAAATCTTTTCCTTTTAAACATAGCAAATGACTTCTTCACCCTTGTTCTATTATCTATCAAAATTTCCTAAATTTTTCAATTCAATCTGATTATACAAATTTTCTCGAATTTTAACACTTTATAGCTTTAACACTAATTTCGTATCAAAAAACTAAGTAACATGAAAATATCATTCTTAGTGGTCAACTGTTCATTTACTAGAATAAAATACATAATTTTCATAGATTACCATTTAGTCCCTAAACATTTTCTAAGTTTATACTTTAGACACCAAGCTTTCATTTTATTCATTTTGGTCACTAATTTTTTTTGGGTATTACATTCAAAAAATGCCTACCATTTGTTTTCCCTTAAATTAGTTACTTTTATCCATTTTTTCCCTTTTCTTTATCTTACCACATTTAAAACCCGAGGCATTTGATTTTATCCCTCTTTTGCTACATTTTTCAAGACAATGAAACAAATTATTCCACACAAAAAAGGTACTCGAAAAAAATAAGAAAAAACCACAATAAAAGAAGAAAATAATTCAAAAAAAATGAAGAAAAAAGATGTTGAAATTCTTCAGTGACTGAATTAGTTTTGTTTGATATTATCTTGTGGACTTGATTTGATCTTATGTGCATCTCTTGTCTTGATTATGAGCTTAGATTTTTATCTTTTTCCATACCTTTACCTAAACCCCGTTACAACCCTTGAAAGTTCATCTGATTATTGCATCATGTTCATTATAGAGGTGGAGATTTGATTCACTTGCAAACCTATGATAATATTTTGTTATGTTCTGACTTTGAGAGTTGACTACACCTTAAACACTTTGAGAGTATTGAGTGAATCCATGCGAGGGTGTTAAGTCTTGCTGCATTTAAAATTAATGGATTAATAGGATGTTTTGATTTTGCAATAATTTATCTTATTCATGCTCTTCTACTTGATTATTATTTTGATTCAAATATTTGATGTCAACTTGACTTTTTTGGTATTCTGAGATGTGAAGCGAGATGATGGAAGGTAAATAGAAAACTTAGTATGTTGAATTAAAGTATGCTTGAGGACAAGCATTGAATAAGTGAGGAGGAGTTTCATAAGAGTTACATATTGCATATTTTTACTATTATTTACTTATCATTTATAGCATGGATATTACTGGTTTGTTTCTTTTTTGGCTTTATTTTGGACTAGAGCTTCATTAGATTAATTAGCTCAAAAATCAATAGATTTCGACGGTCCAGTTAGCATCTTCTAGAAGATGAGTGAAATTTTCTTGGATATTTAATTTAAAATTTACCTAAGATAAGGTTATCTAGAAGATGAAGCAAAAATCAACCAGAACTATAAGACTTAAATATTTATTTTTTATCTTTTGCCATAAGCCTTTTTAATTTGATTATTTTATTATTATATTTTATTTAGGAATTTGTTATTTTACTTACTTATAACTCTTGGGTTATAAATACTTTTTAGGTTTAACAGTTGAAAGACATATTAAAATTTATTTTTCCTTGGTTAATTATTAAAGTTATGTTTTTCTTTCATCTCCACTTTTCTTTCATTATTTTCTTTCTACAATGCTAAGTATGATCAATCCATGCTTAGCTAAACTTCCACTTAGCCAAAGGTTTTGTGAAACTCAATTCTAATCGTGATAATTGAGTCTTGATCTTCATACCTTTATATTGTATTCTTTGATTCTCTGGAAACTGTGGCAATCGGTCATTTCCTTAAAAGTTACGACATCTGCAACTCAAAAAGTGTACGTTGATTTGAAGAATGTTTTCCTTGAAGTTTGAAAGTCAGATCGGTTGATCATAATTTGGCTTCTTGTGAATAAACTTAGCGGTGGTGCACTAAGGAGAATCAAGATTCAGTTTGATTGTCGGTGAGATGCTACAACTCGAGTCAGATTTTTCTAGAAAGCTATTTTCGAATCTAATAACGATAGACGTCCTTAAACCAAAAAGGACCGAATTTCGGATATAGACTTGAAAATTTTGGTTAACCGAAGAGAAGATTTAGTTGTAGGGGTTGAACCATGTTGACTATAACTGTTGTACATCACGAAGGAAAAATTCTATTTTCGATGATCAATCGAAATTGAGGCTAAACAAAACCTAAGGTTATATCATATCGATTAAATTCTTTTATTTTATTTTTTTCATCATTTTCCATTTATTATTTATTTTTATTATTTAATTACTTTCATTAATGTAAAACCCCCAATTTTACTTTTGCAGTTAAAACCTAGGATCGAAATAAATAAACTATTCATACTTAGTCCTTGTTGATCACTTCTCTATACTACCTTTATTATTTATTTGAGATTATAGTTTTTATTTATTTGACAATTTTGATGCTTGTCAATGAACCAATTTATAAGGGGTTCTGGTTGTCTCCAATTTTGCTCCACAGAGAACTTCGTTCGATTCTTTAATCTTTTCTTTTTGGGTAAATTTCATGTTTGGTAATTGAACTTTGCTCTCTCCTCTATTTCAATCATTATACTTTTAATTTTTCAATTTACTCACTGAGTTTTATAAATTGAATTTTTTTTACCACTCAACCGTTAAATTTTTAATGGTGTTATCACATGACAACTTACATAAAAACATCGTTTTAGATTCCTACACTAGATCAAATTTTGTTCAAAATGTTGTCGTTTTGATTCCTTATAAAAAATTATTTTTTCTTTATTCTTCTTCTCTTACTTTTTATCTAAACCAATTTAGAATCTGTCCACCACATTAGCTGTCATTCTAGCCATTGTCGATCACCATCGTCGGAGGTCGATGAGTCAAAAACCTTCATCTTCCTCTTCCCTTTCCAAGGCCTCACCTCTTCCTCTCCCAAATCCTTACCCCAATGTCACCGTCCTCTTTTCTGCCTCCCCAAAACCCTCAAAATCTCCCCTCCAAACCCTCGCTATCTCTCGTTCCCTTCCTCTAATTTTCACCTTTGAAGAAGCAGTGCTATCTTCTGGTTTGGTAGCAGGATGTGGCATGACATTATCTTTTTCATTTTCTATCTTCCCCAACCAAATCATTTTTAGAATCAGAAAGACCAGCCTTCATCTTGGCTCTAGTAGAAAGTTGTTTCCTCCTTTTGCTTGCTTTCTTTTTCAATCCACCACACTTCAATGTTGGTTCGCCAAAGTCATAATTCTTGCTACCAACTGCCTTCTTAAGATTAGCTCCATTCGTTCGATTCTCCAAGGCAATTGGACTCTCATGTTGAATGGAATCATGGTTGACAAGTTTGACTTCTACAAATATTTCTATTGCCCTAGAGATTTCAACTTCCACAAAAGCATATTGTCTTTTGATTTGACAGGGACAGTGATGGTTTAGGGTTGATATTGAGATTGATGTTTTAGATTAGAGTTTTGTAATTTTAATTTTATTTTAGGATCCTATCTGACATTAGATATTAATAATTTTTGTTTAATATCAATCTAAAAGTCCATGTATAATATTAAATTATTCCACATCAACCAATTGATAGAGAGAAAACGGTCGAGTGACTATTCTATAATTGTTGGGGTTACTATGTCTTGTATGTATTTATCTATATGTACTTAGGCATTTGTATCTATAATTGCTTCACGTTTTGCAGAAGTTTATTTTAGGATTTACGACAATTGTTACAACACTCATGGAACTCGTCACCTATCTTGGAACATATTTTTTTATTCGCTACGTTAATATTTAATTATTTTTCGTAGAACTCGTCATATCAAAGTGATGAAATTTCTTTTTGTGATAATGAATTTTTTATTTTTCAATTTAGTCTTCTAATTTTTCATAATCTCCTTATTTCTTCAATTCATCATTTATTTTAAGTTTGTTTTTTACTAAATTTGAGCCGCATGCTCCTAAATCATATTAGAATACATATGTACTTTCAATTCCTCTTTTTGATAATTTTTTTATTTTTCAATTTAGTCATTCAATTTTTCATAAATCTCCTTATTCCTTCAATTTGTTATTTATTTTAAGTTTGTTTTTTTACCAAATTTAAAACAACATGCTTATATACCACAATAAAATACCTATGTAACTTCAATTGTTATTTTTTTACTAAAGATGTACTCTTTTTTTATTTAGCCCCTTAACTTTACATTTTACTCAATTTGGTCTTTTAACTACAATTGTTTGTAAATTCTTTCTTTTCATCAATTCCTTGACTCATGTATACTCTCAACAATATTTTATCCTCAAAATACTTTATTTAAAATATAATATTATAAATATATTTCACAATTTTAGATTATATTTGATATATTAAATAACATTATAATATGAAAGAATATAATACATATGTCACAATGGTCCCTTCGGGTGGTCCCAGGTTCGCGTTCTGACTTGGAATCATGGAGTCACCACCGATCTTTTCGAATGAGGCAAATCGGATATCTTGTTTTTGCCCATTTACCGGATTTGCGTCTTACCAAAGAATTATCGGATCAAGAGTCGTTTACGATCGGGAAATAATGAGTACCCCTGACAAAACCAATCGATTACCAGGTTGTCTTAAAAAGGAAAAATAAATTTAAATTGTAATTTAATTTAATTTAATTAGTGATCCTTTAAAAAAATAAATATAATTCTATTTGAATCCAAAAAAATCTGTTATACACAGAAAAGAACGTTAGTATTCCAAGAAATGTTATAAATAATGTAATGTATACAAAAAAGATATAAATAAAAAAAACTGACTAACTTCGAAGTCCTAAAAATTGAAAGGAATAAATATGTTAATAAAAAATATAAAAAAACAACCGAAGAACACAAAGAAATTAGAGGAAGAGTAAACAAAATAAAATAAAATAAAAAATCAAATCAAATGGATAATAACTTAAAATTAAAGTAAACCAAAATAAAAAATAAAAAAGTTAAAGGTTATACAAAATGAACCAGACATAAATATCTGAAATAAAATGAAATTAAAAAAGTAATGGACTAGATTGAATGATTTATCAAACCTATGAGGACCACCGGATGGATTTTACAATAAAATTATAAGGACCATAGAGACAGTTTACCCTCAAACTTCATTAACACGTTACAAAAGCAAAATAGTTTGCCTTTTCTTGAATTCATTTGCAATCTTCATCCAGATTGAAAACAACTTTACCGTGCTTTGTTTCTTCTACACGGTCGACCATCTGTCGCCGCTTCGTTCGTCGCCGGTAAGTCCGCCGGCCGGCCGACCGCCGCCGTCGATTATCGCCAATGGAAACTAAGCTTCACCACCATATTGGTCTTGATGCGAGGAGTTCGAATCCGGGGCCCATTTCTCTATAAGGCGCTCTGGTTGTCGTAAAAAGGCTGAAAACCGTTCTCCGATCCGCCGCCGCCCACCGTTGGATCGTTCCCATTTCAAGATATATTGCTTGCCATCCTTTTTCTATCTTTTGACCGCTCGGATCGTTGAGCGACCTCTGCGGTCGCAGGAAACACCAAACGCCGAAGGGTAACGCCCTTTCCTTCTCTCTTTTTTGTTTCAACTCTCTTACTGTACTCTTTCTTTTGCAGGTTCTTCGTAAATACTCGGTAGGATTTGTATTCGAATATATATATAAAGCTGGAGAGGGAGTAGTATTTACTCATTCGACTTGATCAAACGCACCCCTACCTGTGCTTACCGCTATGGCATACATATAATAACAGAGCTACCTGCTAAACTTACTGCTAGAATTGGTACAAGTTACCTTTTTTTTACTAGGACTTGCATTTTAGTACGTTTCAGTGAAGTTGTTTTATGAATTATGGTGTCAATTCACATTTGTTTTTTATTTTTAGTAAAATAAGTATTTAGTAACTTAATTATTCTTGCAGTTCCATTTTAGTCACTCAACGATGTGTTTCTTCAAAATCGTTACACAATTATGGTGTCAATTATGGTCATATAGATATAGTATGTATCAAAATGGTACGGATGATCTTAGATATATATGCATCAAACATAGTACATTCAATGCATGCATGTACTAAAACATGGAAGATCGGTTAAGTCGAAGCATAAGAGATGGTGCATTTTAAACGCTTCAAAAGTGTTTCATGTGATCATATCTAATTCCACAAAAGTGGAACATGCTCAAGAATGAGCTTTACATGAAAGAGCATAATAAGAGCCCCATCCGAAAGAGGGAGGAAAACACCGTAATACACCAACCATAAACCATTACAATCTGTGACACCGATGAACCACAGCTTTTATGAAACAGAAACCGGAAATGATCCTAAAGTTCCCAAGGACCAAAAGCTTCTTCACTTGTATTCCAAGATCATGTTGTTTTCAGGAGCTAAGCCAACGCATGCTCTCAGTATGTTCTCCAGCATTGCTCGCTGCTTCGACAGTGCATTTATCACTGGTGTGCCTGGCGGAACCTGTTTTTCCCAAAAGAATGCAATTGATATAAAGGTGTAAATAGTTCTTATTCACTAACTTATCATGATTATACTGAATTCCCACCGTTCTGTGCACATTCTTGTGTTAAAGATGAAATGAAGTTTACTCAATTCTGTCCTCATTTAGTCCAAGAAGGAATTTAATACCAACTTAATTGGATAGAGTTAAAGGTAAAGACAATAGCATCTTTTTGGACTCACAAGAGGGGCCTTGGTGAGGTAACTGAGGATAGTAGACACGGGGTGGAAAGAGTGGAACTTTCCCTGCAAAATGAAAAATCATATCGAATGTATAAAAAATGTAATGGTCAACACAATGTTAATCACTTAAAACATCAGCTCGGGCGTTATAGTAAATGACATCAAACGTACCTCTCCTTCAGCTTTTAGCTGGATCCTGGTGCTAAGCTCAGCAAGAAGAACCAAATCTAGGATGATGGGAGCAGCCAAAAGGGAGTCCTCACATGTGTTGTGCAACACAATGGTGTTCTTGCCTCCCATGAATATCTCTGATGTGTACTCATCCATGGCTCTCTTGCTATCTCCCACATACGGCACGTACTACGATACAAAACAGACAGAAGCCCACATTTAATTCTCAGACAAAGGCCTTGGCGACCACAACATGATAGGTAAAGTTAATTACCTTGATGACCACAACATGGTCAGGATGTTCACCAGGCTCATAGAGTATTCCATTGCTTGAAACCATGTCGTCAACAACATTGCTCTTTGATATCTCTTTCGACCGGAAGGTCTGCGGAGCTGATAGATTCATGCCATCGTTGTTTCCCAGATGATTGTAGCTCACTATTGATGTCGGCTGTCAAAGTGTTAACTTACCATCATCATTAGTACAACTATCCATCAATGTCATAGTATCATCTTTATTGGAAGATAAGCTACGAAATCACATCGATCATGCTTCTAAGTTCTGCCTATCTAACAAATTAAGGTGAAAGCTTTATAAAGTTCAAAAGATATGCACCTTGATACCGGCCCCAACAAGGAAATCCACTAGGACAGATTTCATCTTTGTCTGGCCACTCTTGAAGTCATCTCCTCCAATCAGAGAGTTCCTCTGAATAGCCAAATCAATTAGCCCTGGACAACAACAAATGGAAAACCCAAATAGATACTCACTTCTAAAGGGTTATTACATTTGCTAATGGCATTTCAAAAGAAATGGGAACATACCAGGAACAAAGGTGTTTTGAGGGCTTCCATTGACAAAAGGAACATTCTCAAGAACACAAGCAATAGCATACAAAGTGGAAGGAGAAATCTCTGCTACATTCTTCTCCAAAGAACCCATGAGACTTTCCACGGTGTCGTTTAGTCCCACAATGACATTGCTGTACCTCTCGGTGTTTGCAGTCCAGAGGACAACCAACTTGTCCACCTTGTTTTTCTCCTTGAATTCCCTGACACAACACAAGTTAATGTTAAAATGTTGAGAAAGTACAGCAAGAACATACCTTTTTCTAAACAAAATAAAATGGAGAGTTGAATATGGTACCTAATGTCTTTGATGATTTGCTGAACTTGTTCTTTCTTGGTCCCCTTGATGACGTTATTGGCACGATCACCTTGGTTTGCAGCAATGAAATCTGGGTCGTAAATCCCAGGAAGTGGGATCATGGATTCCATGTAGGGCCTGAGCTGCTTTTGCAGATCAATGTCGAAGACCTTGGCCCTAGCCATAGCATCAGCTAGGTTCATGTCACTTATGTCCCATCCTCCAAACACAATATCCTCTGGTTTCACCTGTATTTATTCAGAATTCCCTGATTAAAACAGACAACAATATATGGAATCAAAAACGAAATATCAGTTCATCAGGTGCATACCATGGGGAGAAGGCTCTTAAATGGGGCATAAATCTCCTCTCCATTGTAAGATCCAACTCGGATCGTCGATGCCTGAGTCAGTGAGCCAAAGTAATTAGCTTGTTGCACCTTGTCCTTGGTAGCCCAGGAGATTCCCCTGTTTAACATCATCCATTACCCATGTCTCATAAATCAACAAACAGATCGAAAAGAAATAATCAAAATGGGTAAAACTAAAGGAGGGGAAAGAATCTTACTCTCGATTGGCTATAACACCACCAGTCAGGGTTGCACCATTGTTTCCTCCCCATCCAACAAGCATCACCCTGGAACATTAACAAAGATTTAAAACAAACCCAGAAAAGAAAAGAAAAGAAAAAGATGGGAAGTTCAGATTCAAACCCTAATTTGGGGACAATGACATCAGTCTTGAATTCATATTTGAGAATCTTGGGCTTGACAACCCATTGATAGGCTCCATCCCTGATCTCATGAACCAGCTCAGTGGTCTCATAGTTGTACACAGATCGGATCTCGTTGTCAGTGTATTTCACATTTGGACTTTCTACTTTAAAGCTCTCAATAAACATGTTTTTGGCGATGATTTTTCTTAAAATCTCCAAACAAAGAAAAATAAAGTTAACTGAGATGCGAGGTCGACAATGAAACTCAAACCAGATATTTGCTCTTCCTTTTTTTTTATGGAAAAAATACATAGCTCGGAGTCCGCAGTATGAAGCTTATTTATAGAGGAAATATCCAATATGAAGGTACACGTATGATAACCTTCCAACTGCGCTAAGCCCTCTACGGTCAAGTGTCTTCCATTATTTAAGAAAAAAACGTAAAATTTAGTTTAATACATTAAGAAAAAAATAAAATATATATATATTCATTATTTTTAAAAATTGAATATTAAAATTTTAAATCTCATTCTTAAATTTTTAGATATATTACTATTATAATAATCATTAAAAATAATAGTGATTTCTTAACTATTAAATTAAATTAATTTATATAAGATCTATTATATTATATATATATATATATATATATATATATTACATATATAAATTTTATTATAAATCTTAATTAGATCTTAATTATATCTTAATTCAAAACTACCATAACTTAAATGTTTTACCAAAAAAAGTATAAATTTTACGTATCGCAAGTTATTATTGATATTTTTATTCTCCAGAATAGCTAGGATCGGTCAAACAAGTGTGCGGAGGAGGTGTCTTTCATGACAAGTGTGATATACACGTGGCTAATCTCATATGTGTGAGGTCCATGCCCTTAGTCCTTAAAAAGCAAAAGCAGCCTGAATGTATAAGCTACCGCAGTCTTAATATATAATTAAAGAAATATATTATTAAAAATATTAATATTTTTAATAAAATGTTATTTAAAATATTATTTTTATTTAAAATTTTAATTTCATTACTTAATTTCAGGTAAAAAATAATATTTTAGGTAGTGTTTAATATTAACATTTCGAGTAAAATAATAATGTCTTAGGTAGCTCTTTACCAAAAATGTTAAACATTTTGGGTAACACTTAATAATAACATTTTCTGTAAAAAGAAAATAATGTTTTATGTAGCGCTTTATCAAAAATATTAAAAAATATTAACATTTCTAGTAGTGTATTTACTTAGTCATACATTAAGGCTGTCGTACCTTAGACATCCCTGAAAAATGAAACAAAATGTTTTAGTATAAACTACAAAAAGATCACGTAACAATTTTATTAAATTGTCATAGTTATATTTATAATTTTATAGAATTATTAATTTATAACATTGAAGGGATCATAAATTTATATAAAGTTTTCTGAAAAATTATTATCTTATTAATTTATTAAAATTATTAATTTAGAACTCGAGTTCAAATAGAGACTTGAAAAATTATTATTTAGAAAAATTATTAATTTATTGAGTATTACTTTACAGATGCTCTAACGTAATTATTTTGAAAACATCAAATTCATTTTATTTTTTAAAAAATTTATATAATTTAAATAAATTATTTTTTATAAAAATAAATATTCAAGTAATTATATTTAACTTTTATTATAATTATTTAAAATAATTTAAAATATTATATCAATAAGATATATCAATGAAATACTTTTGAAAAATAAAATTTATTATTATTGTTTTTTTTTGCCCCTTCGGTTCGCAAGGTTTTATATTGACTAGTCCGAACCGACTCGGATTGAACATCTGACTTTGATGGGTGAGTCTCCGAGCAGAGATTTTCTGCATACACAATGAGTCAATGACTCAAACTTAAGACCTACTTAAACGACATCAAGCTACTTAACACTTAAACTCACACCGTTAATGATTTATTATTATTGTTATTATCATCAAATAACATAATTATGTTGAAGTAATAAATTATCAATAAGAATTAACCCCCGTCAAGAATCTACCATTAATGCTAACCTGCAAAATGACGTTATATTTTTACTGGATTTTGGATGATGAAAACAGAGATTGAATTAGGATATTTAGTAGATGATTTAAATACGTATTTCTTGTTTAGTTTAGTGATTATAATCTACAACACTCTCGTTTTAGAAAATATTTTTTATTTATATATATATTTTTTTTAAAAAATTAGTTTTAGTTTTTTGAAAATTAAAAAATATTTTTGATTAATATAAATGAAAATTTGATTTTAAAAATAAAAAGTTAAAACATATTTTATACCATTTTTTTAAATTAAAGATGAAGAAGTAGTTATTAAATAATTATGTTAAAATATAATTATTAAAAGTTTTATTACATAAATTTAATATTTGAGCTGTGTAAATATAAAACAATAAAACTGACAAGAAATTGTATAACAAAAATTATTTTAGTATATAATAAAAATATAATGTTAATGCATATTAGATATCAATTAAATTAAAAAAAAATACACTAAAAAGTATTGTTGTAAATAAGGGCACAAAAATGTGTCGTTAAAATAAAAAATATGTTTAGTGGTATTTAAGGTCCTAAAACTTTTGAAAAACAATTAGTGTAACCCTTGAATTTTTTTACACTCAATGTAACCCTTAAATTGAGAAAAAAATTAATCTAACATTTTGACTAATAGAATTAAACGTTGACCGTCATAATGCTTACATTACAATTCACAAAGCTTACATGACAATATATAATATTGATGTGATGGTTCACGATATTATTGTGGTAATACATGATAGATGATGATGTAATAGATGAGTTTAATTGACTTTTCGACTAAGTTCGAGGGTTTAACTGATTATTTTATAAAGTTTAAGGATTTAATTAATTTTTTAAAAAGTTTAAATAATCATTTAAATTTAAAATATAAAATATACAAAATTATTAAGATATTTAATACATTAAATATAAAAATACTAAAAGAATAAATTATTAAAAAAAACTGGAATAAAAAAATAAAATAGTAGATCTTTTCTAGAACCAAACAAATTTGTCATTTGGTCTCTCTTTTGATCCTTTCAAAATTCTGCTTAAATTTAGGTACCATTTTCATAGATAATAACAAATGGGTGTCGATTTTATAAATAAAATGGGAAAAGAATCATATTAATCGTGTGAGCAATTTGAGTAGTGCCCACTTGTTTTCATCATTTCTCAATCAAATTCGGATTTGGAATAAAAATCTGAGAACGCATATCTTTAAATAAAAAATAAAAAATAAAAAAAGTCGAACTACTTTCCATTATTCTTTTCATATATTAAATAGGATTTTTATTTTAAAATCAAATTTATAATTGAATTTAAATTTAATTATTTATAAATAAATAACTATAACGTTTTTAAATAATCATTATAATTTATGTCTTTTATTGAATTAGATATAACTGGTGTAATTACCGAAAGTATTATACTCTTTCATTTTAATGAATATTATTATTATTATATAATTTAAACTTTTATAATCCAAGCAGAATTTATGAGAACTCTGTCAAATTTTCTAGCAAGAAAGGAGTCTTTTTGTTTGTTGCTCCAAGTGTAAGTTGGCCCAAAAAACGGATGATCATGGAGAAGAAGATCATTGAGAATTTCTTGAAAGTCTTTCATATCAGTAGAATAATAAGGGCCCAGCATTTCATGATCAGAGCTTTCAAGAGAGTGAAGGAAAATGTTAAAATCTCCGCCAAGAATCCAAGGGAAAGATCCATAGTTAGAGTCAAGGTCTCTAAGATGTTGCTAGAGAAGTCTTCTTTGAATTCCATCATTTTTTCCATAGATACCAGACATGATAAAAGGAGAACCATTGAAGTATCCTTTGACTGAGATACATTGATCAGAAGCTTGGCAAAAAGAGAAATCAAATTCTTTTTTTCGAAAGGATCCAAATTCGACCATTGGGAGCAAAATCATAATTAGAAAAGATATTCCAATTCCTAAACTTATTTTTTAATAAGTCTTCAGAATTTTCAGCTTTAACTCTAGTCTCCATCAAACAAAGGACATATATCTTATAAAGATTAGCTTTATGCAGAATTTTATTTTGTTTTTGAGGATTATTTAATCCTCTGACATTCCAAAAGAAAATAATCATTGAGATGAAGAAGAAGAACCACCCCCAATAACACTATCAGAGTTACTTTTAACTTTAATTAATTGCTCCTTCTTTTTAGTTTTAAGGTCTTTGATAAGCAAAGCCACACCTGAAGCAGCAGCCCGAGGTTTCTTGCAATGATCCTCTAATGTGGGAGAGTTTTCATCAACAGTGTTTAAGATTTCAAATCTGTTTGTAGAACCTTTAAGGGCAACTTTGATTTTAACCTTTACAGGTCTACCTCTGCCTCTTTTGAAACAGTTGGATCTTTGTTATCTTTGTCTTTAGAGTCTGAGTGAATAGGGGAAGTTGGCAGATTAAGGAAGGAGTAGAGGCATTGCATACTACTTTTGAAGAATCTGGCTCTAAGCTCACATTTGAAATATTTGAGATAGGATTAGGAGAATCCCCTTTGGTAGAAGAGTTAATGTTTTCAAGAGAAGAACATGAAGGTTCTGTTCTAGGTTCAGAAACACTTTTGAGTTTATCTTCTTGTGAAAGAGAAACTACTGGTTCAGGATTCAGTGAAGAATTGTTATTATCATTGAATTAGTATTAGCATCATTAATATGATCACTCTTTTTCCTCCAAATCTGTGTAGAAGCATTATAAGTAGTTAGTTTTAGCATGCATCCTTTTTCATTATGTCCAAAAGAGTTACAATTCTTACAACACTTTGGAAACCAAGAAACTTCCATAAAGATTTTAGTAGTCTGACCATTTGCCATAACAACTTCAACAGTTTGGGGAATATCATCGTTAACTCCTACCTCAACACATATTTTTACGAATTCTAGTCTAGTTTTAGAGGCAGTAACAGAGTTTATAGTTAAAGGGTTTCCAATGGCGCTAGCTATATAGCTTAATCCTTCTCTCGAAAATAATTCGAGAGGCACATTATAGAGATGCACCAATAATGGGATTTTAGACAAATTGAAATGCAATCTTTTAAGATTAGAGGCTCCTATTTCCTTAAGATTAGAGGCTTGTTAAGTATGTGCCACGAGTCATTTTCCAGTACTCAATCCCTAGCTGAATCGAAATTAAAAAAATAAATAGAGATTGTTACC